AGTCAGTCAGTCAGTCGCTCAGTCAGTCAGTCAGTCGCTCAGTCAGTCAGTCAGTCGCTCAGTCAGTCAGTCAGTCAGTCACTCGCTCAGTCAGTCAGTCAGTCGCTCAGTCAGTCAGTCACTCGCTCAGTCAGTCAGTCAGTCGCTCAGTCAGTCAATCACTCGCTCAGTCAGTCAGTCAGTCGCTCAGTCAGTCAGTCACTCGCTCAGTCAGTCAGTCAGTCGCTCAGTCAGTCAGTCACTCGCTCAGTCAGTCAGTCAGTCGCTCAGTCAGTCAGTCAGTCACGCACTCAGTCAGTCAGTCAGTCGCTCAGTCAGTCAGTCACTCGCTCAGTCAGTCAGTCAGTCGCTCAGTCAGTCAGTCACTCGCTCAGTCAGTCAGTCAGTCGCTCAGTCAGTCAGTCAGTCGCTCAGTCAGTCAGTCAGTCGCTCAGTCAGTCAGTCACTCGCTCAGTCAGTCAGTCAGTCACTCAGTCAGTCAGTCACTCGCTCAGTCAGTCAGTCAGTCGCTCAGTCAGTCAGTCAGTCGCTCAGTCAGTCAGTCAGTCGCTCAGTCAGTCAGTCACTCGCTCAGTCAGTCAGTCAGTCGCTCAGTCAGTCAGTCAGTCAGTCACTCGCTCAGTCAGTCAGTCAGTCGCTCAGTCAGTCAGTCAGTCACTCGCTCAGTCAGTCGCTCAGTCAGTCAGTCAGTCGCTCAGTCAGTCAGTCAGTCGCTCAGTCAGTCAGTCACTCGCTCAGTCAGTCAGTCAGTCGCTCAGTCAGTCAGTCACTCGCTCAGTCAGTCAGTCAGTCGCTCAGTCAGTCAGTCACTCGCTCAGTCAGTCAGTCAGTCGCTCAGTCAGTCAGTCACTCGCTCAGTCAGTCAGTCAGTCGCTCAGTCAGTCAGTCACTCGCTCAGTCAGTCAGTCAGTCGCTCAGTCAGTCGGTCACTCGCTCAGTCAGTCAGTCAGTCGCTCAGTCAGTCAGTCACTCGCTCAGTCAGTCAGACAGTCGCTCAGTCAGTCAGTCAGTCACTCGCTCAGTCAGTCAGTCGCTCAGTCAGTCGCTCAGTCAGTCAGTCACTCGCTCAGTCAGTCAGTCGCTCAGTCAGTCAGTCACTCGCTCAGTCAGTCAGTCAGTCGCTCAGTCAGTCAGTCACTCGCTCAGTCAGTCAGTCAGTCGCTCAGTCAGTCAGTCAGTCAGTCACTCGCTCAGTCAGTCAGTCAGTCGCTCAGTCAGTCAGTCACTCGCTCAGTCAGTCAGTCAGTCGCTCAGTCAGTCAGTCACTCGCTCAGTCAGTCAGTCAGTCGCTCAGTCAGTCAGTCACTCGCTCAGTCAGTCAGTCAGTCGCTCAGTCAGTCAGTCACTCGCTCAGTCAGTCAGTCAGTCGCTCAGTCAGTCAGTCAGTCAGTCACTCGCTCAGTCAGTCCGTCAGTCGCTCAGTCAGTCAGTCGCTCAGTCAATCAGTCAGTCGCTCGTTCACTCAGTCAGTCAGTCACTCGCTCGCTCAGTCAGTCAGTCAGTCACTCATTCACTCAGTGAGTCAGTCAGTCGCTCACTCAGTCAGTCGCTCATTCACTCAGTCGCTCATTCACTCAGTTAGTCAGTCAGTCACTCACTCAGTCAGTCGCTCAGTCGCTCATTCACTCAGTCAGTCACTCGCTCATTCACTCACTCAGTCAGTCGCTCACTCATTCACTCAGTGAGTCAGTCAGTCGCTCATTCACTCAGTGAGTCAGTCGCTCATTCACTCAGTGAGTCAGTCGCTCATTCACTCAGTCAGTCGCTCACTCATTCACTCAGTCAGTCGCTCGCTCATTCACTCAGTCAGTCACTCACTCATTCACTCAGTCAGTCACTCGCTCATTCACTCAGTCAGTCAGTCGCTCATTCACTCAGTCACTCAGTCGCTCATTCACTCAGTGAGTCAGTCGCTCATTCACTCAGTCGCTCACTCATTCACTCAGTGAGTCAGTCAGTCGCTCATTCACTCAGTGAGTCAGTCGCTCATTCACTCAGTGAGTCAGTCGCTCATTCACTCAGTCAGTCAGTCGCTCGCTCATTCACTCAGTCAGTCGCTCATTCACTCAGTCAGTCACTCACTCATTCACTCAGTCAGTCACTCGCTCATTCACTCAGTCAGTCAGTCGCTCATTCACTCAGCGAGTCAGTCGCTCATTCACTCAGTGAGTCAGTCAGTCGCTCATTCACTCAGTGAGTCAGTCAGTCGCTCATTCACTCAGTCAGTCGCTCATTCACTCAGTCAGTCACTCACTCATTCACTCAGTCAGTCACTCGCTCATTCACTCAGTCAGTCACTCGCTCATTCACTCACTCAGTCAGTCGCTCATTCACTCAGTCAGTCGCTCACTCATTCACTCAGTCAGTCACTCGCTCATTCACTCAGTCAGTCGCTCACTCATTCACTCAGTGAGTCAGTCAGTCGCTCATTCACTCAGTCAGTCACTCGCTCATTCACTCACTCAGTCAGTCGCTCACTCATTCAGTCAGTGAGTCAGTCAGTCGCTCATTCACTCAGTGAGTCAGTCGCTCATTCACTCAGTGAGTCAGTCGCTCATTCACTCAGTCAGTCAGTCGCTCATTCACTCAGTCAGTCAGTCGCTCGCTCATTCACTCAGTCAGTCGCTCATTCACTCAGTCAGTCACTCGCTCATTCACTCAGTCAGTCGCTCACTCATTCACTCAGTGAGTCAGTCAGTCGCTCATTCACTCAGTCAGTCACTCGCTCATTCACTCACTCAGTCAGTCGCTCACTCATTCACTCAGTGAGTCAGTCAGTCGCTCATTCACTCAGTCAGGCACTCGCTCATTCACTCACTCAGTCAGTCGCTCACTCATTCACTCAGTGAGTCAGTCAGTCGCTCATTCACTCAGTCAGTCAGTCACTCGCTCATTCACTCAGTGAGTCAGTCAGTCAGTCACTTGCTCAGTCGCTCGCTCACTAACTCACTCAGTCACTTACCGAGTGAGTGAGTGAGTGGGTGAGTGGGTGAGTGAGTGGGTGAGTGAGTGGGTGAGTGAGTGACTGAGTGAGTGAGCAAGAGAGTGAGTGAGTGACTGAGTGAGTGACTGAGTGATGAGTGAGTGAGTTGGTGAGTGACTGAGTGACTGAGTGAGTGGCTGAGTGAGTGAGTGGCTGAGTGAGTGGCTGAGTGAGTGAGTGGCTGAGTGAGTGACTGAGTGATGAGTGAGTGAGTGACTGAGTGATGAGTGAGTGAGTGAGTGACTTAGTGAATGAGTGAGTGACTGAGTGGCTGAGTGAGTGGCTGAGTGAGTGAGTGGCTGAGTGAGTGACTGAGTGGGTGAGTGAGTGAGTGACCGAGTGAGTGAGTGAGCGAGTGAGTGACTGAGTGAGTGACTGAGTGACTGAGTGAGTGACTGAGTGACTGACTGACTGAGTGACTGACTGAGCGAGTGACTGAGTGAGTGACTGAGTGACTGACTGAGTGACTGAGCGAGTGACTGAGTGCTGAGTATCTGAGTGACTGACTGAGTGACTGAGTAAGTGACTGACTGAGTGACTGAGTGACTGACTGAGTGACTGAGTGAGTGGTTGAGTGACTGACTGAGTGACTGAGTGAGTGACTGAGTGATTGAGTGGCTGAGTGAGTGACTGGCTGACTGACTGAGTGACTGAGTGACTCAGTGAGTGGTTGAGTGACTGACTGAGTGACTGAGTGAGTGACTGAGTGGCTGAGTGAGTGACTGAGTGACTGAGTGAGTGACTGAGTGACTGACTGACTGAGCGACTGACTGACTGAGTGACTGACTGAGTGACTGACTGAGCGAGTGACTGACTGAGTGACTGACTGAGTGACTAAGCGAGTGACTAAGTGAGTGACTGACTGAGTGACTGAGCGACTGACTGACTGGCTGACTGAGCGACTGACTGACTGGCTGAGTGACTGAGCAAGTGACTGAGCAAGTGACTGAGTGAGCGACTGACTGAGTGACTGACTGAGCGACTGAGCGAGTGACTGACTGAGTGACTGACTGAGTGACTGACTGACTGAGCGAGTGACTGACTGACTGAGTGACTGACTGAGTGACTAAGTGAGTGACTAAGCGAGTGCCTGAGTGCTGAGTGGCTGAGCGAGTGACTGAGTGAGTGACTGACTGGCTGACTGAGCGACTGACTGACTGAGTGACTGGCTGAGTGACTGAGCAAGTAACTGAGTGACTGACTGAGTGACTGACTGAGCAACTGAGCGAGTGACTGACTGAGTGACTGACTGAGTGACTGACTGAGCGAGTGACTGACTGAGTGACTGACTGAGTGACTAAGTGAGTGACTAAGTGAGTGACTAAGCGAGTGACTGAGCGAGTGCCTGAGTGCTGAGTGGCTGAGCGAGTGACTGAGTGAGTGACTGACTGGCTGACTGAGCGACTGACTGACTGAGTGACTGGCTGAGTGACTGACTGAGCGAGTGACTGAGTGACTGACTGGCTGACTGAGCGACTGACTGAGTGACTGGCTGAGTGACTGAGCGAGTGATTGAGAGACTGAGTGAGCGACTGACTGACTGACTGAGTGACTGACTGAGTGACTGACTGAGCGACTGAGCGAGTGACTGACTGAGTGACTGACTGACTGAGCGACTGAGCGAGTGACTGACTGAATGACTGACTGAGCGACAGAGCGAGTGACTGACTGAGTGACTAAGTGAGTGACTAAGTGAGTGACTAAGTGAGTGACTGAGCGAGTGACTGAGTGCTGAGTGACTGAGTGAGTGACTGAGTGAGTGACTGAACGACTGACTGACTGGCTGACTGAGCGACTGACTGACTGAGCGACTGACTGACTGAGTGACTAAGTGAGTGACTAAGTGAGTGACTGAGCGAGTGACTGAGCGAGTGACTGAGCGAGTGACTGAGTGAGTGACTGAGTGAGTGACTGAACGACTGACTGACTGAGCGACTGACTGAGCGACTGACTGAGTGACTAACTGAGTGACTAAGTGAGTGACTAAGTGAGTGACTGAGTGACTGAGCGACTTCACCTGCGTCGACGTTAGGAAACAGGATGAGAGTTGGCTTGCCAAACTCCAGCAGAGCGTCCAGCATGAGGCCAAACATCTTCACGGAGTGAGCGATGTCGGTGGTGACGGGATGCTGAAGAGCAACTACGTAATCACGTGGACGTGCGAGCGGGCCTGTGGAGTCAACCAGCAGTAGAGTCACTCAGTCAGTTACTCAGTCAGTCAGTCACTCAGTCACTCAGTCACTCACTCAGCTACTCACTCAGTCACTCAGTCACTCACTCAGTCACTCAGTCAGTCACTCACTCACCCACTCAGTCAGTCACCCACTCACCCACTCACTCAGTCACTCACTCACTCAGCCACTCACCCACTCACTCAGTCACTCACTCACTCACCCACTCACTCACCCACCCACTCACTCATTCACCCACCCACTCACTCATTCACTCACCCACTCACTCACTCACTTACCCACTCACTCACTCACCCACTCACCCACTCACTCACTCACCCACTCACTCACTCACTCACCCACTCACTCACTCACTCACCCACCCACTCACTCACTCACTGACCCACTCACTCAGTCACTCACTCACTCACTCACCCACTCACTCAGTCACTCACCCACCCACTCACTCACCTACTCACTCACCCACCCACTCACTCACCCACTCACCCACTCACCCACCCACTCACTCACCCACCCACCCACCCACTCACTCATTCACTCACCCACTCACTCACCCACCCACTCACTCACCCACTCACCCACTCACCCACCAACCCACTCACCCACCCACCCGCCCACCCGCCCACCTAGCCAAGTGCTGATAGCGAGTGATGGGTCTCTGGGAGCCCAGGCCAGGAGCTCATCGTAAGAGGGGCAGCCGGCTAAGAGGATCCGTGCAGGGTCTTCACACATAGCGATGAGGTGCTGCTCAGCACGTGACGTACAGCACACGTGCAGGTGTGATAGCTCAGTCACTCACCCACCCACTCACTCACTCACTCACTCACCCACTCACTCACTCACTCAGTCACTCACTCACTCACTCAGTCACTCACCCACTCACTCACCCACTCACTCAGTCACTCACCCACTCACTCAGCCACTCACTCACTCAGCCACTCACCAACTCACTCAGTCACCCACTCACTCACTCAGTCACCCACTCACTCAGTCACTCACTCACTCACTCACCCACTCACCCACTCACTCACTCACCCACCCACTCACTCACCCACTCACCCACTCACCCACTCACCCACCCACTCACCCACTCACTCACCCACCCACCCACCCACCCGCCCACCTAGCCAAGTGCTGATAGCGAGTGATGGGTCTCTGGGAGCCCAGGCCAGGAGCTCATCGTAAGAGGGGCAGCCGGCTAAGAGGATCCGTGCAGGGTCTTCACACATAGCGATGAGGTGCTGCTCAGCACGTGACGTACAGCACACGTGCAGGTGTGATAGCTTAGTCACTCACCCACTCACTCACCCACTCACTCACTCACTCACCCACTCACTCACTCACTCAGTCACCCACTCACTCACTCACCCACCCACCCACCCACTCACTCACCCACTCACTCACCCACTCACTCACTCAGTCACCCACTCACTCAGTCACCCACTCACTCACTCAGTCACCCACTCACTCACTCACCCACTCAGCCATCCACTCACTCACCCACTCACCCACTCACTCACTCAGCCACTCACCCACTCACTCAGTCACTCACTCAGTCACTCACTCAGTCACTCACTCACTCACTCAGCCACTCACCCACCCACCCACCCACTCACTCACCCACTCACTCACCCACCCACCCACTCACCCACTCACTCACCCACTCACTCACTCACTCAGTCACCCACTCACCCACTCACTCAGTCACTCAGTCACTCACCCACCCATACACCCACCCACTCACTCACCCACCCACTCACCTACCCACCCACCCACTCACTCACCTACCCACCCACTCACCCACCCACTCACTCACTCAGTCACTCACCCACCTACCCACCCACTCACTCACCCACTCACCCACCCACCCACCCACTCACTCACTCACCCACTCAGCCACTCACCCACTCACTCACTCAGTCACCCACTCAGCCACTCACCCACTCACTCACTCAGTCACCCACTCACTCACTCAGTCACCCACTCACTCACTCACTCAGTCACTCACTCACTCACCCACTCACTCACCCACCCACTCACTCACCCACCCACTCACCCACTCACCCACCCACCCACCCACCCGCCCACTCACCCACCCACCTACCCACCCACCCACCCACTCACTCACCCACTCACTCACCCACCCACTCACCAACCCACTCACCCACCCACCTACCCACCCACCCACCCACTCACTCACCCACTCACTCACCCACCCACCCACCCACCCGCCCACCTAGCCAAGTGCTGATAGCGAGTGATGGGTCTCTGGGAGCCCAGGCCAGGAGCTCATCGTAAGAGGGGCAGCCGGCTAAGAGGATCCGTGCAGGGTCTTCACACATAGCGATGAGGTGCTGCTCAGCACGTGACGTACAGCACACGTGCAGGTGTGATAGCTTAGTCACTCACCCACTCACTCACCCACTCACTCACTCACTCACCCACTCACTCACCCACTCACCCACTCACTCACCCACCCACTCACCCACTCACTCACTCAGCCACTCACCCACTCACTCACTCAGCCACTCAGTCACTCACCCACCCACCCACTCACTCACCCACTCACTCACTCACTCAGCCACTCAGTCACTCACTCACTCACTCACCCACTCACCCACTCAGTCACCCACTCACCCACTCACTCACTCACTCACCCACTCACTCACTCAGACACTCACTCATCCACTCACCCACCCACTCACTCACTCATCCACTCAGCCACTCTCCCACCCACTCACCCACTCACCCACTCACTCACTCACTCACCCACTCACTCACCCACTCACTCACTCACTCAGTCACCCACTCACCCACTCACTCAGTCACTCAGTCACTCACTCACTCACCCACTCACTCACTCACTCACCCACTCACCCACTCACTCACCCACTCACCCACTCACTCACCCACCCACTCACTCACTCACCCACCCACCCACTCACTCACCCACTCACTCACTCACCCACCCACTCACTCACCCACCCACCCGTTCACCCACTCACCCACCCACCCGCCCACCTAGCCAAGTGCTGATAGCGAGTGATGGGTCTCTGGGAGCCCAGGCCAGGAGCTCATCGTAAGAGGGACAGCCGGCTAACAGGATCCGTGCAGGGTCTTCACACATAGCGATGAGGTGCTGCTCAGCACGTGACGTACAGCACACGTGCAGGTGTGATAGCTCAGTCACTCACCCACCCACCCACTCACTCAGTCACTCACTCAGCCACTCACTCACTCACTCAGCCACTCACCCACTCACTCACTCACCCACTCACTCACTCACTCACCCACTCACTCACTCACTCAGCCACCCACTCACTCACCCACTCACTCACTCAGCCACCCACTCACTCACCCACTCACTCACTCAGCCACCCACTCACTCACCCACTCACTCACTCAGTCACTCACTCACCCACTCACTCACCCACTCACTCACTCACCCACTCACTCAGTCACTCAGTCACTCACCCACTCACTCAGTCACTCACCCACTCACTCAGTCACTCACCCACTCACTCACTCACTCACCCACCCATCCACTCACTCACCCACCCACTCACTCACCCACCCACTCACTCACCCACCCACCCACCCACTCACCCGCCCACCTAGCCAAGTGCTGATAGCGAGTGATGGGTCTCTGGGAGCCCAGGCCAGGAGCTCATCGTAAGAGGGGCAGCCGGCTAAGAGGATCCGTGCAGGGTCTTCACACATAGCGATGAGGTGCTGCTCAGCACGTGACGTACAGCACACGTGCAGGTGTGATAGCTTAGTCACTCACCCACTCACTCACCCACTCACTCACCCACTCACTCACTCAGTCACTCACCCACTCACTCAGTCACTCACTCAGTCACTCACTCAGTCACCCACCCACTCACCCACCCACTCACCCACCCACTCACTCACCCACTCACTCACTCACTCACCCACCCACTGACTCACTCACTCACTCACCCACTCACCCACTCACTCACTCACCCACCCACTCACCCACTCACCCACTCACCCACTCACCCACTCACTCACCCACTCACCCACCCACCCGCCCACCTAGCCAAGTGCTGATAGCGAGTGATGGGTCTCTGGGAGCCCAGGCCAGGAGCTCATCGTAAGAGGGACAGCCGGCTAAGAGGATCCGTGCAGGGTCTTCACACATAGCGATGAGGTGCTGCTCAGCACGTGACGTACAGCACACGTGCAGGTGTGATAGCTCAGTCACTCACCCACTCACTCAGTCACTCACTCAGTCACCCACCCACTCACCCACCCACTCACCCACCCACTCACTCACTCACTCACCCACTCACTCACCCACCCACTCACTCACCCACTCACCCACTCACTCACTCACCCACTCACTCACTCACTCACCCACTTACCCACTCACTCACCTACCCACTCACTCACCCACTCACCCACTCACCCACTCACCCACTCACTCACCCACTCACCCACCCACTCACCCACTCACCCACTCACCCACCCACCCACCCACTCACTCACCCACCCACCCACCCGCCCACCTAGCCAAGTGCTGATAGCGAGTGATGGGTCTCTGGGAGCCCAGGCCAGGAGCTCATCGTAAGAGGGACAGCCGGCTAAGAGGATCCGTGCAGGGTCTTCACACATAGCGATGAGGTGCTGCTCAGCACGTGACGTACAGCACACGTGCAGGTGTGATAGCTTAGTAATGGCGTGCCGGATGGAGTCGTCAATGGTGCCACTCACCTGGTGGGGAGAGAGAGAGAGAGGGGAGAGTTGGGTGGGTGGGTGAGTGGGGTGGGTGGGTGAGTGGAGGGGTGGGTGGGTGGGTGAGTGGGTGGGTGAGTGGGTGAGTGAGTGGGTGGGTGAGTGGGTGAGTGAGTGGGTGGGAGAGTGGGTGGGTGAGTGGGTGGGTGGGTGAATGAGTGGGTGGGTGAGTGGGTGAGTGAGTGGGTGGGTGAGTGGATGAGTGAGTGGGTGAGTGAGTGAGTGGGTGGGAGAGTGGGTGAGTGGGTGGGTGAGTGGATGAGTGAGTGGGTGAGTGGATGAGTGGGTGGGAGAGTGGGTGAGTGGGTGAGTGAGTGGGTGAGTGGGTGGGTGGGTGAGTGGGTGGGTGGATGGGGTGGGTGAGTGGGTGGGTGGGTGGGTGAGTGGGTGGGTGGGTGGGTGAGTGGGTGGGTGGGTGGGTGGGTGGGTGAATGAGTGGGTGGGTGAGTGGGTGAGTGAGTGGGTGGGTGGGTGGGTGAGTGAGTGGGTGGGTGGGTGGGTTAGTGGGTTAGTGAGTGAATGGGTGGGTGGGTGGGTGAGTGAGTGGCTGAGTGGATGAGTGAGTGAGTGGGTGAGTGGGTGAGTGAGTGGATGAGTGAGTGGGTGAGTGAGTGAGTGGGTGGGAGAGTGGGTGAGTGGGTGGGTGAGTGGATGAGTGAGTGGGTGAGTGGGTGAGTGGGTGGGAGAGTGGGTGAGTGGGTGAGTGAGTGAGTGGGTGAGTGGGTGGGTGGGTGAGTGGGTGGGTGGGTGGGTGGGGTGGGTGGGTGGGTGGGTGGGGTGGGTGAGTGGGTGGGTGGGTGAGTGAGTGGGTGGGTGAGTGGGTGAGTGAGTGGGTGGGAGAGTGGGTGGGTGAGTGGGTGGGTGGGTGGGTGGGTGAATGAGTGGGTGGGTGAGTGGGTGAGTGAGTGGGTGGGTGGGTGGGTTAGTGGGTTAGTGAGTGAATGGGTGGGTGGGTGGGTGAGTGAGTGGCTGAGTGGATGAGTGAGTGAGTGGGTGAGTGAGTGGGTGGGTGAGTGGATGAGTGAGTGGGTGAGTGAGTGGGTGAGAGAGTGGGTGAGTGGGTGGGTGAGTGGATGAGTGAGTGGGTGAGTGGGTGAGTGGGTGGGAGAGTGGGTGAGTGGGTGAGTGAGTGAGTGGGTGAGTGGGTGGGTGGGTGAGTGGGTGGGTGAGTCGGTGGGTGAGTGGGTGAGTGAGTGAGTGGGTGAGTAAGTGGGTGAGTGAGTGGGTGAGTGCGTGAGTGGGTGGGAGAGTGGCTGAGTGGATGAGTGAGTGAGTGGGTGGGTGAGTGGATGAGTGAGTGGGTGAGTGAGTGGGTGGGTGAGTGGATGAGTGAGTGGGTGAGTGAGTGGGTGGGAGAGTGGGTGAGTGGGTGGGTGAGTGAGTGAGTGAGTGGGTGGGTGGGTGAGTGGATGGGTGGGTGGGTGAGTGAGTGGGTGGGTGGGTGAGTGGGTGGGTGAGTGGGTGGGTGGGTGAGTGGGTGAGTGAGTGGGTGAGTGGGTGGGTGGGTGAGTGGGTGAGTGGGTGGGTGGGTGAGTGGGTGGATGGGTGGGTGAGTGAGTGAGTGGATGAGTGAGTGAGTGAGTGGGTGAGTGAGTGTGTAGGTGAGTGAGTGGGTGAGGGAGTGGGTGAGTGGATGAGTGGATGAGTGGGTGGGTAGGTGGGTGGGTGGGTGGGTGAGTGAGTTGGTGGGTGAGTGGGTGAGTGGGTGAGTGGATGAGTGAGTGGGTGAGTGGGTGGGTGCGTGGGTGACTCTCCCCCCCCCACCATCTCCCCCCCACCAACCTCCCCACCCTCCACGTGTAAGATACGGATGTTCATGAGTGCCGCACTCGTAGCCAGAGCAAGGGCATCAAATCGATCTCCATGGACCACCAGGATCTGTGGGCTGTGGGGGGAAGGGAGAGAGAAAGGTGGGTGGGTGAGTGGGTGGGTGAGTGGGTGGGTGAGTGGGTGGGTGAGTGAGTGGGTGAGTGAGTGGGTGGGTGAGTGGGTGGGTGGGTGAGTGAGTGGGTGAGTGAGTGGGTGGGTGGGTGGGTGGGTGAGTGGGTGGGTGGGTGGGTGAGTGAGTGAGTGAGAGTGAGTGGGTGGGTGAGTGGGTGGGTGGGTGAGTGAGTGGGTGAGTGGGTGGGTGGGTGAGTGAGTGAGTGGGTGGGTGGGTGGGTGAGTGAGTGGGTGAGTGGGTGGGTGAGTGAGTGGGTGAGTGAGTGGGTGAGTGACTGAGTGAGTGACTAAGTGACTAAGTGAGTGACTGAGTGACTAAGTGAGTGACTAAGTGAGTGACTGAGTGAGTGACTGAGTGACTGAGTGACTAAGTGAGTGACTGAGTGACTAAGTGAGTGACTAAGTGAGTGACTAAATGAGTGACTGAGTGAGTGACTGAGTGACTGAGTGAGTGAGTGACTAACTGACTGAGTGACTAAGTGACTGAGTGACTAAGTGAGTGACTAAGTGAGTGACTGACTGGGTGACTGACTGAGTGACTAAGTGAGTGACTAAATGAGTGACTAAGTGACTGAGTGACTGACTGAGCGACTAAGTGAGTGACTAAGTGAGTGACTGAGTGACTAAGTTAGTGACTGAGTGACTAAGTGAGTGACTAAGTGAGTGACTGACTGAGTGACTTAGTGAGTGACTAAGTGAGTGACTAAATGAGTGACTAAGTGACTGAGTCACCGGAGTCTTGTGAGCACGTCAGGAAGCTTGACCAGGGCGAGTCCGACCGACTCCACCATCGCTGCTTCGTCCTCCCCACGGACGATCGTGTGAAGACGGGAGTCCACTACGAAGCCATCCTGCTCGATCAGACGGTACGTGTTGCTGTGGGGAGAGAGATAGTCACCCACTCAGTCACCCACTCAGTCACCCACTCACTCAGTTACTCAGTCACTCAGTCACTCAGTCAGTCAGTCACTCAGTCACCCACTCAGTCACCCACTCAGTCACTCAGTTACTCAGTCAGTCACTCAGTCAGTCACTCACTCAGTCACTCACACACTCAGTCACTCACCCACCCACTCACCCACTCACTCACTCACTCACCCACCCACTCACTCACTCACCCACTCACTCACTCACCCACTCACTCACTCACTCACTCACACACCCACCCACCCACCCCCCACCCACCCCCCCACCCCCCACCCACCCACCACCCACCCCCCCACTCCCCCCACCCACCCACCCACCCCCCCCACTAACCCGTAGTCATCAATGAGATGTGAGCCCAGCACCACAACGCTCAGTGTGAAGGATTCCACTCAGTCACTCACTCACTCAGTTACTCAGTCAGTCACTCACTCAGTCACCCACTCAGTCACCCACTCAGTCACTCACTCAGTCACTCACTCACTCACTCAGTCACCCACTCAGTCACCCACTCAGTCACCCACTCAGTCACTCACTCAGTCACTCACTCACTCACTCAGTCACTCACTCAGTCACCCACTCAGTCACTCACTCAGTCACTCACTCAGTCACTCACTCACTCACTCAGTCAGTCACCCACTCAGTCACTCACTCAGTCACTCACTCACTCACTCAGTCACTCACTCAGTCACCCACTCAGTCACCCACTCAGTCACTCACTCAGTCACTCACTCACTCACTCAGTCACTCACTCAGTCACCCACTCAGTCACCCACTCAGTCACTCACTCAGTCACTCACTCACTCAGTCACTCACTCAGTCACCCACTCAGTCACCCACTCAGTCACTCACTCAGTCACTCACTCAGTCACTCACTCACTCACTCAGTCACTCACTCAGTCACCCACTCAGTCACCCACTCAGTCACTCACTCACTCACTCAGTCACTCACTCAGTCACCCACTCAGTCACCCACTCAGTCACCCACTCAGTCACTCACTCACTCAGTTACTCAGTCAGTCACTCACTCACTCAGTCACTCACTCAGTCACGCACTCAGTCAATCACTCACTCAGTCACTCACTCAGTTACTCAGCCACTCACTCAGTCACTCACTCAGTTACTCAGCCACTCACTCAGTCACTCACTCACTCAGTCACCCACTCAGTCACCCACTCAGTCACTCACTCACTCAGTCACTCAGTCACTCACCCACCCACCCACCCCACCCACTCCCCCCACCCACCCCCCCCACTAACCCGTAGTCATCAATGAGATGCGAGCCCAGCACCACAACGCTCAGCGTGAAGGATTCCACTCAGTCACTCAGTCACTCAGTCACTCACTCAGTCACTCACTCAGTCAGTCACTCAGTCACTCAGTCAGTCACTCAGTCACTCACTCAGTCACTCACTCAGTCACTCACCCACTCAGTCACTCACTCAGTCAGTCAGTCACTCACTCAGTCACTCACTCACTCAGTCACTCAGTCACTCACTCAGTCACTCACTCAGTCACTCACCCACTCAGTCACTCACTCAGTCACTCACTCACTCACTCACCCACTCAGTCACCCACTCAGTCACTCAGTCAGTCACTCACTCACTCAGTCACTCACTCAGTCACTCAGTCACCCACTCAGTCACTCAGTCACTCACTCAGTCACTCACTCACTCACTCAGTCAATCGCTCAGTCACTCACTCACTCAGTCAATCACTCACTCAGTCACCCACTCAGTCACCCACTCAGTCACCCACCCACCCACCCACCCACCCCCCCACCCACCCCCCCACTCCCCCCACCACCCACCCACCCCCCCACTCCCCCCACCACCCACCCACCCCCCCACTAACCCGTAGTCATCAATGAGATGCGAGCCCAGCACCACAACGCTCAGCGTGAAGGATTCCACTCAGTCACTCACTCACTCAGTTACTCAGTCAGTCAGTCAGTCACTCAGTCACCCACTCAGTCACTCACTCACTCAGTCACTCACTCAGTCACTCACTCAGTCAGTCAGTCACTCACTCAGTCAATCACTCACTCAGTCACTCACTCACTCACTCACCCACCCACTCACCCACTCACCCACTCACTCACCCACTCACTCACTCACTCAGTCACCCACTCACCCACTCACCCACTCACTCAGTCACTCACTCAGTCACCCACCCACTCCCCCCACTCCCCCCACTCCCCCCACCACCCACCCACCCCCCACCCACTCCCCCCACCCCCCACTCCCCCCACCACCCACCCACTCCCCCCACTAACCCGTAGTCATCAATGAGATGTGAGCCCAGCACCACAACGCTCAGTGTGAAGGATTCCACTCAGTCACTCAGTCACTCAGTCACCCACTCAGTCACCCACTCAGTCACTCAGTCAGTCACTCAGTCAGTCAGTCACTCACTCACCCACCCACTCACCCACTCACCCACTCACTCACCCACTCAGTCAGTCACCCACTCACTCACTCAGTCACCCACTCACTCACTCAGTCACACACCCACCCACCCACTCCCCACCCACCCACTCCCCCCACTCCCCCCACTCCCCCCACCACCCACCCACACCCCCCCCACTAACCCGTAGTCATCAATGAGATGCGAGCCCAGCACCACAACGCTCAGTGTGAAGGATTCCACTCAGTCACTCACTCAGTCACTCACTCACTCAGTCACTCACTCAGTCACTCAGTCACTCACTCCCCCCACTCCCCCCACCACCCACCCACTCCCCCCACTAACCCGTAGTCATCAATGAGATGCGAGCCCAGCACCACAACGCTCAGCGTGAAGGATTCCACTCAGTCACTCACTCAGTCACTCAGTCACTCAGTCACTCAGTCACTCACTCAGTCACTCACTCAGTCACTCACCCACTCAGTCACTCACTCAGTCACTCACTCAGTCACTCACCCACTCAGTCACTCACTCAGTCACTCACTCACTCACTCACCCACTCAGTCACCCACTCAGTCACCCACTCAGTCAGCCACCCACTCACTCAGTCACTCACTCAGTCACTCAGTCACCCACTAAGTCACTCACTCAGTCATTGAGTCACTCACTCGCTCACTCAGGCACTCACCCACTCAGTCACCCACTCACTCAGTCAATCACTCACTCAGTCACCCACTCAGTCACCCACTCAGTCACCCACCCACCCACCCACCCACCCCCCCACCCACCCCCCCACTCCCCCCCCCACCCCCCCACCCCCCCACTCCCCCCACCACCCACCCACCCCCCCACTAACCCGTAGTCATCAATGAGATGCGAGCCCAGCACCACAACGCTCAGCGTGAAGGATTCCACTCAGTCACTCAGTCACTCAGTCACTCACTCACTCAGTTACTCAGTCAGTCAGTCAGTCACTCAGTCACCCACTCAGTCACTCACTCACTCAGTCACTCACTCAGTCACTCACTCACTCAGTCAGTCACTCACTCAGTCAATCACTCACTCAGTCACTCAATCACTCAATCACTCACTCACTCACCCACTCACCCACCCACTCACTCACCCACTCACTCAGTCAATCACTCACCCACTCACCCACTCACCCACTCACCCACTCACTCACTCAGTCACTCACCCACTCCCCCCACTCCCCCCACTCCCCCCACCACCCACCCACCCCCCACCCACTCCCCCCACCCCCCACTCCCCCCACCACCCACCCACTCCCCCCACTAACCCGTAGTCATCAATGAGATGTGAGCCCAGCACCACAACGCTCAGTGTGAAGGATTCCACTCAGTCACTCAGTCACTCAGTCACCCACTCAGTCACCCACTCAGTCACCCACTCAGTCACTCAGTCAGTCACTCAGTCAGTCAGTCACTCACTCACCCACCCACTCACCCACTCACTCACTCACTCACCCACTCAGTCAGTCACCCACTCACTCACTCAGTCACCCACTCACTCACTCAGTCACACACCCACCCACCCACTCCCCCACCCACTCCCCCCACCACCCACTCCCCCCACCACCCACCCACCCCCCCCACTAACCCGTAGTCATCAATGAGATGTGAGCCCAGCACCACAACGCTCAGTGTGAAGGATTCCACTCAGTCACTCACTCAGTCACTCACTCAGTCACCCACTCACTCACTCAGTCACCCACTCACTCACTCACCCACCCACCCCCCACCCACCACCCACCCACCCACCCACTCCCCCCACCACCCACCCACCCACCCACACTCCCCCCACTAACCCGTAGTCATCAATGAGATGTGAGCCCAGCACCACAACGCTCAGTGTGAAGGATTCCACTCAGTCACTCACTCAGTCACTCACTCACTCAGTCACTCACTCAGTCACCCACTCACTCACTCACTCACCCACCCACCCACCCACCACCCACCCACCCCCCCACTCCCTCCACCCCCCCACTCCCCCCACCACCCACCCACCCACCCACACTCCCCCCACTAACCCGTAGTCATCAATGAGATGTGAGCCCAGCACCACAACGCTCAGCGTGAAGGATTCCACTCAGTCACTCAGTTACTCACTCAGTCACTCACTCACTCAGTCAATCACTCACTCAGCCACTCACTCACTCACTCAGTCACTCACCCACCCACCCACCCACCACCCACCCACTCCCCCCACCCCCCACCACCCCCCCACTCCCCCCACCACCCACCCACCCCCCCCACTAACCCGTAGTCATCAATGAGATGCGAGCCCAGCACCACAACGCTCAGCGTGAAGGATTCCACTCAGTCACTCACTCACTCAGTCACTCAGTCAATCACTCACTCAGTCACTCACTCAGTCACCCACTCAGTCACTCAGTCACTCACTCAGTCACCCACTCAGTCACTCACTCAGTTACTCACTCAGTCACTCAGTCAATCACTCAGTCACCCACTCACTCACCCACCCACTCACCCACTCACCCACTCACTCACTCAGTCACTCAGTCAGTCAATCACTCACTCAGCCACTCACTCAGTCACTCACTCACTCACTCACCCACCCACCCACCACCCACCCACCCCCCCACTCCCTCCACCCCCCCACTCCCCCCACCACCCACCCACTCCCCCCACTAACCCGTAGTCATCAATGAGATGCGAGCCCAGCACCACAACGCTCAGTGTGAAGGATTCCACTCAGTCACTCACTCAGTCACTCACTCACTCAGTCACTCAGTCAATCACTCACTCAGTCACTCACTCAGTCACTCAGTCACTCACTCAGTCACTCAGTCACTCACTCAGTCACTCACCCACCCACTCACCCACTCACCCACTCACTCACTCACTCACCCACCCACTCACTCACTCACCCACTCACTCACTCAGTCACTCACTCACTCACTCAGTCACTCACCCACCCACCCACCACCCACCCACCCCCCCACTAACCCGTAGTCATCAATGAGATGTGAGCCCAGCACCACAACGCTCAGTGTGAAGGATTCCACTCAGTCAATCACTCACTCACTCAGTCAATCACTCACTCAGTCAATCACTCACTCAGCCACTCACTCACTCACTCAGTCACTCACCCACCCACCCACCCACCACCCACCCACTCCCCCCACTCCCCCCACTCCCCCCACTCCCCCCACCACCCACCCACTCCCCCCACTCCCCCCACCCACCCCCCCACTAACCCGTAGTCATCAATGAGATGCGAGCCCAGCACCACAACGCTCAGTGTGAAGGATTCTGGCCTGGCACGGAGTCCCCGCATGATGGGGGCCAGCTTCGAGTAATCGGCACGGTTACACGTGGCTACACAGACCCTCAGCGGGGCTGACGAGCTGGTGGAGGTGGTGGTGGAGGTGGTGGACGAGGAGGTGGACGAGGAGGTGGACGAGGAGGAGGTGGTGGGGACAGGGGGCGTGGTGGTGGACGAGGTGGTGGAGGTCGATTCTGCTGAGAGCTTGCTCTGCATGGCGAACAGCTGGAAATACGTCGCCTGGTGGTGGACGTGGTGGTGGTGGAGGTGGTGGACGTGTTGGAGGTGGTGGAGGTGGTGGAGGTGGAGGAGGTGGTGGAGGTGGTGGTGGTGGACGTGGTGGTGGTGGTGGACGTGGAGGTGGTGGTGGTGGAGGAGGAGGTGGAGGAGGTGGTGGTGGAGGTGGTGGAGGTGGACGTGGAGGTGGACGTGGAGGTGGTGGTGGTAGTGGAGGTGGAGGTGGTGGTGGAGGTGGTGGAGGTGGTGGTGGACGTGGTGGTGGTGGTGAGGGTGGAGGTGGTGGTGGTGGAGGTGGTGGTGGTGGAGGTGGTGGTGGTGGAGGTGGTGGAGGTGGAGGAGCAGGAGGTGGTGGTGGTGGTGGTGGACGTGGTGGTGGTGGTGGTGGTAGTGGAGGTGGACGTGGTGGTGGAGGTGGTGGAGGAGGTGGACGTGGAGGTGGTGGACGTGGAGGTGGTGGTGATGGAGGTGGTGGTGGTGGAGGTGGTGGTGGTGATGGTGGTGGTGGACGTGGTGGTGGAGGTGGACGTGGTGGTGGTGGACGTGGAGGTGGACGTGGTGGTGGTGGTGATGGTGGTGGTGGAGGAGGAAGAGGTGGTGGAGGTGGTGGAGGAGGTGGAGGTGGACGTGGAGGTGGTGGAGGAGGTGGAGGAGGATGAGGAGGTGAAGGAGGTGGTGGATGTGGTGGAGGTGGTGGACGTGGAGGTGGTGGTGGTAGTGGAGGTGGAGGAGGTGGTGGTGGTGGAGGTGGTGGTGGTGGAGGTGGTGGAGGTGGTGGTGTAGCAGGTGGTGGAGGAGGAGGGAGAGAATTACATTCGCACGGACATCACAACCGGTCAATCGGAACCCCTGAACATCGAAAAGCTCCGCCGGCGGTACCGGTCCGGCTCCGGACAGAGGAGCGGCAGCCTCTCATCACAGACAAAGCTCCCCCAGGTAGCCTCTAGCAGGCTGCAGGGGCAAGTGCTGTCACTAGCACCTACACACATAGACAAAGATCCCCCAGGTAGCCTCTAGCAGGCTGTAGGGGCAAGTGCTGTCACTAGCACCTACACACATAGACAAAGATCACCCAGGTAGCCTCTAGCAGGCTGTAGGGGCAAGTGCTGTCAGTAGCACCTACACACAGACAAAGCTCCCCCAGGTAGCCTCTAGCAGGCTGTAGGGACAGCACCACGCCCGGCCGCCTTTGTCTCCCCTGTGTTGGTGATGTTCACTGCACACCGCTACTACACCAGGTACTCGTTTCAGGCTGAGTCGACCTAACAGCACTTGGCCCCGACAGTCTGTGAAGGCTACACGGGGGATCTTTGTCTTTTGAGTGGGTGGGTGAGTGAGTGGATGGGTGAGTGACTGAGTGAGTGGGTGAGTGAGTGAGTGGGTGAGTGAGTGGGTGAGTGGGTGAGTGAGTGGGTGAGTGAGTGGGTGGGTGAGTGGGTGAGTGAGTGAGTGAGTGGGTGAGTGAGTGAGTTGGTGAGTGAGTGAGTGGGTGAGTGAGTGGGTGGGTGAGTGAGTGGGTGAGTGAGTGGGTGAGTGGGTGGGTGAGTGAGTGGGTGAGTGAGTGGGTGAGTGAGTGGGTGAGTGGGTGGGTGAGTGAGTGGGTGAGTGAGTGGGTGAGTGAGTGGGTGAGTGGGTGGGTGAGTGACTCAGTGAGTGGGTGAGTGAGTGAGTGGGTGAGTGAGTGGGTGAGTGAGTGGGTGAGTGAGTGAGTGGGTGGGTGAGTGAGTGAGTGAGTGGGTGAGTGGGTGGGTGAATGAGTGGGTGAGTGGGTGAGTGAGTGGGTGGGTGAGTGAGTGGGTGGGTGAGTGAGTGGGTGAGTGAGTGGGTGAGTGGGTGAGTGAGTGAGTGAGTGGGTGGGTGAGTGGGTGAGTGAGTGAGTGGGTGAGTGAGTGAGTGGGTGAGTGAGTGAGTGGGTGAGTGAGTGGCTGAGTGGGTGAGTGGGTGAGTGAGTGACTGAGTGACTGAGTGAGTGACTGAGTGAGTGAGTGGGTGGTGAGTGGGTGAGTGGGTGGGTGGGTGAGTGAGTGAGTGGGTGAGTGAGTGAGTGGGTGAGTAAGTGAGTGGGTGAGTGAGTGAGTGGGTGAGTGAGTGAGTGGGTGAGTGAGTGGCTGAGTGGGTGAGTGGGTGGCTGAGTGGGTGAGTGAGTGGGTGGGTGGGTGAGTGAGTGAGTGATTGAGTGAGTGAGTGGGTGAGTGAGTGAGTGGATGAGTGAGTGGGTGAGTGAGTGGGTGAGTGAGTGGGTGGCTGAATGGGTGGCTGAGTAGGTGGCTGAGTGAGTGAGTGGCTGAGTGGGTGGCTGAGTGAGTGGCTGAGTGGGTGGCTGAGTGAGTGAGTGGCTGAGTGAGTAAGTGGCTGAGTGGGTGGCTGAGTGGGTGGCTGAGTGAGTGAGTGGCTGAGTGGGTGGCTGAGTGGGTGAGTGAGTGGGTGGCTGAGTGGCTGAGTGAGTGAGTGGGTGGCTGAGTGGGTGGCTGAGTGGGTGGCTGAGTGGGTGATTGACTGGGAGAGTGAGTGAGTAACAATGTGACACAACTGGAATATTGTAAACCGGTTTAACTGGTAGCGAAACACAGGCACAGATAAAGCTCCCCCAGGTAGAAGGCACAAGGAGTGAGTGGGTGAGTGGGTGAGTGGGTGGGTGAGTGAGTGAGTGAGTGGCTGAGTGAGTGAGTGGGTGAGTGAGTGAGTGGGTGGGTGAGTGAGTGGCTGAGTGAGTGGGTGGGTGAGTGAGTGGCTGAGTGAGTGAGTGGTGAGTGAGTGAGTGGCTGAGTGAGTGGGTGGCTGAGTGAGTGAGTGGCTGGGTGAGTGGCTGGGTGAGTGAGTGGGTGACTGAGTGACTGACTGATCGAGTGAGTGGGTGGGTGAGTGAGTGAGTGGGTGAGTAGGTGAATGGGTGTCTGAGTGAGTGAGTGGCTGAGTGAGTGAGTGGCTGAGTGAGTGAGTGGCTGAGTGAGTGGCTGCGTGAGTGAGTGGCTGAGTGAGTGAGTGACTGATCGAGTGAGTGGTTGGGTGAGTGAGTGGGTGAGTGAGTAGGTGAGTGGGTGTCTGAGTGAGTGAGTGGCTGAGTGAGTGAGTGGCTGAGTGAGTGGCTGCGTGAGTGAGTGGCTGAGTGAGTGAGTGACTGATCGAGTGAGTGGCTGGGTGAGTGAGTGGCTGGGTGAGTGAGTGAGTAGGTGAGTGAGTGTCTGAGTGAGTGGCTGGGTGAGTGACTGACTGGCCCAGTGACGTCACCACGCCGCCCGTGCCAGGCTAGGTGTCTATGGCAGGAACGTGAGACTTACGTGCGGATTTTGACTCCTGATCCTACTGCTGATGCTACTGCTGATGCTACTGCTGCTGCTACTGCAGATGCTACTGCTGATGCTACTGCTGATGCTACTGCTGCTGATGCTACTGTTCATATTGAAGGTGTACGACTACAGAAGCCTGCTGATGATGATGATACTACTGATGATGATGATACTACTACTGATGATGATGATACTACTGATGATGATGATGATACTACTGATGATGATACTACTGATGATGATGATACTACTGATGATGATGATACTACTGATGATGATGATGATGATACTACTGATGATGATGATACTACTGATGATGATGACGATGATACTACTGATGATGATACTACTGATGATGATGATACTACTACTACTGATGATACTACTACTGATGATGATGATACTACTACTACTGATGATGATACTACTACTGATGATGATACTACTGATGATGGTACTACTGATGATGATGATGATACTACTACTGATGATGATACTACTGATGATGGTACTACTGATGATGATGATGATACTACTGATGATGATACTACTGATGATGATACTACTGATGATGATGATACTACTACTGATGATGATGATACTACTACTGATGATGATACTACTACTGATGATGATACTACTACTGATGATGATACTACTGATGATGATACTACTGATGATGATACTACTGATGATGATACTACTGATGATACTACTACTGATGATGATACTACTGATGATGATACTACTGATGATGATACTACTACTGATGATGATACTACTGATGATGATACTACTACTGATGATGATGATACTACTACTGATGATACTACTACTGATGATGATGATATTACTAATGATGATACAACTACTGATAATGATGATGATACTACTAATGATGATACTACTATTGATGATGATACTACTACTGATGATGATACTACTACTGATGATGATACTACTGATGATGATGATACTACTGATGATGATACTACTACTGATGATGATACTACTGATGATGATACTACTACTGATGATGATGATACTACTGATGATGATACTACTACTGATGATGATACTACTGATGATGATACTACTGATGATGATACTACTGATGATGATACTACTGATGATGATACTACTGATGATGATACTACTGATGATGATACTACTGATGATGATACTACTGATGATGATACTACTGATGATGATACTACTGATGATGATGATACTACTGATGATGATACTACAGATGATGTTACTACTGATGATGATACTACTGATGATGATACTACTGATGATGTTACTACTGATGATGATACTACTACTGATGATGATGATACTACTGATGATGTTGCTGCTACTGGTGACGTCGGACGAAGTAAAGAATATGAAGAGCAAATAGCTGACGGGGGGTGAGGGTGGAGACATCGTGAGGTGGGTGGGGTGAGTGGGGGGGTGAGTGGGGGGGTGAGTGGGTGGGTGGGTGAGTGGGTGGGTGAGTGGGTGGGTGAGTGGGGGGGGTGAGTGGGTGGGGGAGTGAGTGGGTGGGTGGGTGAGTGAGTGGGTGAGTGGGTGGGTGAGTGGGTGAGTGAGTGAGTGGGTGAGTGGGTGAGTGAGTAGGTGGGTGAGTGGGTGAGTGAGTGGGTGAGTGAGTGAGTGGGTGAGTGAGTGGCTGGGTGAGTGAGTGAGTGGGTGAGTGAGTAAATGAATGGG